GTGGGGCACGTGTCATTCATCGGAGAAGGGTGTTTTGAAAAGGCGTTTTATTACATCCGCTGGATTGCATGCAGTAAATGTCCCATCAACCGCTTCACTTGGACAGTATAAATAGCGAATTTGTACTTTTAACCCCCTTCACTAGCATTTGCAAAAAAAATTCAAAAAATTTCTACTTCACTTCGCTTGCAGTTCGTATACCCTTCTGCAATTCAGGAGTCGAATTCTCGAAGGTTTGTGCAGTTGTTTTTAGACCAGTTTCTGTAATCAAAGGGCATATTAAATCTGGTGTTTCTCCTTCAGGAGTTGAAACCAAAAGAGGTAACAAATCCTAACTTTCTTTTCGATTTCTCACTGGCTTGTGCTTAAGTGGATTTTCTATTTATTTCATTATATGTAAATGTCTGGTTTTGGAATACACTCGAATATGGGTAAAGCCAATGAGGGTGAACCTTTTACGCCCTTATCTTTAGTTGAGGAACGAGAATCTTATTACCGGCATAAGTTTCTGGCTGACGCCGAGAAGGCTTTGCGTTCTACCAATCCTGATATCCCAGAGGACATAGAAATTGCAGACGTTGAGCCCATTAGCTTTCGTTATCATTTGAGATCAAACTTGGATTTGTTTAATCAATACGGCACTAATATTGACAGGATGCCGAGAACGAAACACACCAATTACCAACCTGAGGTTGGTGAGAGCAGTAGACGCTCTGGTGAAGAACGAGACGTTGACCCAGGGCATGAAGCTTCTGACATTAGGGAAGAAGATATTCAATCAGTTGAGGATAGTCTGGAACGTTAAGAAGAAAGTGGGGGCGAAAGTGTCGGTAATGAAGGCAGTGAAGAAAAATCAGAGGGGCGGGAAGAAGGAGAAGGTAATGAAGAAGAGGATGATGAGACCGACGAAGAGATCCGAGCTGACTTCAATCTTTCCGCTCAGACTGCAGAGGAAGAACGTCTCGACGAGGGGTGTAATTCCGACTAAGATGATCCCAAATACTTAGAACCCCTGGAAATCCCCAGTAGCTATGAAATTTTGATGTTGTTGTGGATCAAGAATGGTTGAAGGCAGCCACCGAGAAGGAATATTACCGACATAGTAAACGCTTCTACCGTTTACCTGATGGTTATGAACTCCGACTACCAAATGAAGGCCAAACAGCTTTGGACTGCCCTCCCGGCCACATTGTTATCTACGCTAAGCACTTTGAATTTGGTTTACGGTTCCCTCTTCATCACTATATTGAAAACATATTCAGGGCTTAGAATGTATCAATTGCACAATTAACGCTCCCAACTATTGGAAACATAGTCTCTCTTGTCTGGGTTACAATTTTTATGGACTTCCCTCTTACCTTGAACTTATTTCGAAGGTTGCATTGGATAAAGAGAGATAGCCAATCACCTGGGTGGTGGTCCCTTTTTATCGCTTCCGGCAAATGCACTGTATGGCCAAAGTTGACCAGTTGTAATAACTGGAAGAAAGAATTTTATTTTATGAGTGTTCCTGATGATTTTACCGTCCGTAGGACCTTTTACCCCCCCTCCCCCCCACACACACACAGTATGTTTGAGACCATAAGGTCCAGGTCGTTAGGAAGATTGGAGAAAAATGCCTTTAAGTGGTTTACCTGTACATATGTTAGTGCTTGTAAGAAGAATAAAGTTGTTCTGGGGGTGTGGTTGCCCCATTGTAATTATATACTGGGAAACACCCCTCTGTCTCATGTCGGTGTCTGCCATACCGATGAATTTGGTATGGAATTTTCATAAATTTTATACATTATTTCAAATTTTTCTTTACTGTCTTCTTGCTTTGTATTCAACATTAATCTTGATAAGTGTTGTGTCTACCATTATTGTTATACCGTCTTCCTCTCTTGTTTATAACTTTGATACTTTCTTCTTTCATAACTGTATAATTTTTATATTTCATATGTTTATATTTACTTTTGATAATGTTTGCGTATTGACATTCATTATCGGGCGATTTTATTACCAGGTATTGATACACTCGACTACAACCGACTGGGTTTGTATCCTGACGGGAGAGTGAAACAAAAGTGCCCAGACAGGCCGAGAAAGTCATACGACACCCTTCCCGTTTTCGCCACCAGAGCGTCAAAAAGAAAAAGGCCAAGACAACAAGACATGGCTCCTACCAAACGTGCTGTTAAACCCCAAACCCTAGCACTGAAAAGGGTTGGCAGCAATGTATCCAAAAGGACAGCCGAGTCCTCTAACCGAGACTAGTCCCAAAAACAGAAAAAGCGAGATGGCAATTCGGTACATCACCGTCAGGAGGAACAAGAAACATGGTCGGACGGGGTCGTGGACCTAGAGGACGAGACCGAGCCCATTCCTCAGAAAAAGCTGACCGTCATCTTAAGGGACCCAACTGGTCCTGGGACCGAGAACGAGGTTAGAATTGACTAGGTGGCCAACCTCGAGAAGCCTCCGAACAAAGAGAGGCAATCGGTCATCTGGGCGCGTTCTGGCGCCTCCAGCAAAAATGCTTTCGTGCCGGCTCTTACCGGTGAATTCATTGAGATTCCGCATGTCAGAATCTCTAACGAAGTTGCTGAGGTCTTGACTGTACCCTTAGGTGCTGCCGGCGAGCCATGGCATCCCCAGATCAACGTTAATGATGGTGAGTCCATTCTCTGCGACGATCCTAGTACCGGTGGAAGCATGGGCTGGAGAGTGCTAAAGGACTTGGCGACGCCAGCTGACAGGCCTGCCAATTGTGTTGCTTCCCCTTGCGGCCAGTTGATGAACAACATGCTCCGGGTAAGACGACAAAGATCTTTGTTATTTTATATTATTATTAAGTTAAGTACTATTATTAGTATTATCATTTCTTACTTCTTCTTTATAACTAACGGCAAAGCCAACACTATCTCCAGACCATCAACTCTGCCATTGAGGTGGTACATATGTATCAGCATTACCAGCGTTGTGCCGATCAAGCCGAGATGAAGCTGAAGAAAGCTGATGATGCTTGCAAGGCTGTTATCAAGGAGCGCGACAAGGTGAAGGCTGACATGAATCTCTTACAGAGGCAGGTGTCTGACCTAAACAAGAAGCTTCTAAACCAAGAGAAACTGCAGAAGCAGGTAGCCAGCCTTGAGCAGAGTTTGAAGGATGAGAGAGAGGCTAAGGAGACGCTGGCCGGCAAAGTACACGAGATGGAGCGTGACAAGCCGGGAGTCAGGCGTCGAGCCGTTAGTCGGTTCCTGCAGTCTGAACTTTACGTCAATTTGTTGATTGATCTGTATACTGGAGGGCAGGTTTCTGCGCATCGCTGTGTGTGAAAAGTTGAATGGTGGGATTCGGCAAAGTGGCAGGCTGTCGAAAAGGCTTTCGGTGAGGATATGAACCACTCTCCTACCAGCTATGAGAGTGAATACTTTGACGAACTTCCACCGCATTCCATCATAACAAACTTGGACCCGCGTGAACTGCTGGAAGTGGAGTTTTATGACGCCCTTATCAGTATCCTTGTTACCGTTCACGCTGATAAAGACGGGTCTGTCGGTCCCCCTGGTAACGAAGCTGCCAACGAGCCCGGTAAGGTGGCTGAGAAAGCAGTGGAGACCAAGAAGGATTAACAGGACGGGCAGTCACCACCAGAGTCATGTGGGTCATCTGTTTTGTATAATCATTATTTGTAGCTACTTTTAAAACAACTGTCTTTGCGTTATCGTACAATATTTACTCTTTATGTCGGATATGTAGTCGATCGGACCCTTAACTTTTTGGGCGTTGGCTGTCGTTGTTTTATTTTTATGCATAACTGTGATTCTTGCTATCGTGTGTTTTTTTTATATATACTTATTATTTATTGCTTTATATCTTGAATTGGTTTCTCGGTTTTTTCGCCTAATCTGTTTTGAGTTTAAGGTTTTTAACATGAACTCCTCTCTCGGTTCTTAATGCAAACTCCTTTCTCGGTATTTTATGAACTCCTTTTTAACATGAACTCCTTTCTCGGTTTTTAATGCGAACTCCTTTCTCGGTATTTTAAGGTTACCCATTACCTATACTCCCCGAATTTTGCGATAAATTTATTTTAAAATAAATTAAGCGTAAAACTTTGCAATGCCTGTAATTTGTTGTTGTACATAAAGCATACCAATTATGCACACTGAAATTACATATCCAACCTTTATCAGGCCGAGTAAAGGCAGTGGATCAGACTGTTCTTTCAACTCGCCTTGAGGTTCATTATCTTTGTTTACTGCTATCTTCTTCCTCCCTCACTTGAACGACCGAGTCAGCGAGCTAGGCTGTGATCAGGTCATATCGAAAGTAGGTAGGGTTACTTTATTTCATAGGTACTGAAACAAACTACAATGCTTGTAAACACCGTAAATACACGCATGACTACATGTCATCCTAAGTTTTAATACGTAAATAAAATACATAAGAGTCTACATAAAATACTTTTTTAGAACACTAGCATTCCAAACGTTCTTCAAGGGCATCCCCTCTAGAGTCAGCAAATCATTTTGATTTTCACGAAAATGTTGTACACGGAATGTAGGAAGGCCGACCTCGGCCGGAACCACCGCTTCCGAGCCGAAAGCAAGGTTGAAAGGTGATTCCCCCATAGCTTCTCTCGTCGTCGTACAATTTTGACCACATTATTTCAGGTATCAGGTCTGCCCATAAGCCTTTGGCGTCCTCTACTTTTTTCTTGAGTGCACCCATTATCTGTTTGTTGGCAGCCTCGACTTGCCCATTTGATTGTGGGTGACACACCGCCGCATATGCGAATTTTACTTTATATATGCTAAGAAAATCTTTTACCGGGCCACAATAAAATTGGGAGCCATGGTAAAATACATTGTTGTCGGCAACCCGAACCGAGTGAAAATGCTTTTCCAGATGAACTTTTTTACTTCACGTGCTGTAATTTTTACTACCGATTCCGCTTTTATCCACTTAGTGAAGTAGTCTATCCCCACCATCAAAAATTTACGGCCACCCGTTGCCTATGTGAATGGTCCAATAATATCCATTCCCCATTGAGCAAACGGAATCGGGTTGACAATGGGTGTTAAATCATTCGGGGGTTGATTAATCACTGGCCCATATTTCTGGCATTTATCGCATTTTTTGGCGTACTCTAAGGTGTCCGCATTCATTGTCGGCCAATAGTAGCCTCGCTTCATTGCTTCCAAGGACATTGACCGTCCCCCCGCATGATTTTCGCAATCACCCTCGTGCAACTCTTCTATCAGCCTCGCCAATTCATAGGCTGTTATACACCTTCGTAACGGTAATGAAAACCCCCGCTTATATAGCATGCCCCGAAATATGATAAACAAAACGCTGTCTTTCTTGATTTTTCTTGCCTCGGCCTTATCACTAGGTAGGACGTTGTGTATTTTGTAAGCCAAGATATCGTCATACCGTTCTCGTCCTGCGCTTTTATAATTTACTTCTTTAGGGGCCTGCTCATCAATACTCTTTCTCTCCAAAATTTCTACCATTACCGTTCTTTCTATATCATTGAAGCTCGAACTTACAAGTCTTGCCAGCGCGTCTGCCTGCGTGTTCATCGCTCGAGTAACCAACTTTATTTCGAAATATTCCAGATTGGCTGTTGTATTTTGAAGTTTTGCCAAATATGCTGTCATTGTCGGCTCCCGAGTTTCATAAGTGCCTTTGAACTGATTCGCTACTAGCTGCGAAACAGTTGTCACCTCAATACGTTTTGCTTCAGCAGATATGCATAGCTGTATTCCTACTAAGGCTGCTTCATATTCGGCCTCGTTGTTCGAGGCCTTAAACTTGAACTTAATTGCATATTCGAACACGTCTCCCTGGGGGGAAACCATAACTACTCCAGCCCCTGAACCGGTCGAAGCTGACGAGCCGTCAACTGACACCTTCCATGTGCCGGTATCCTCTTCTTCTTCAGAGTAAGATGTTTCCACAATGAAGTCAGACAATGCTTGGGCTTTGATTGATACTCTCGGTTTATACGTAATAACGTATTCATACAACTCTACCGCCCATTTAACCAGGCGCCCAGAGGTTTCCATCTTTTTCAAAGACTTCTCTAACGGTTGATTTGTTAGAATGTCAATTGTATGTGCATCGAAGTAAGGCCGCAACTTTCGCGCAACTATAACTACCGCGTATGCGATTTTCTCAACCAACGGATATCGTCTTTCGGCAGCATTTAAGACGTGGCTCACAAAATAAATCGGCATTTGATTTTTTATCATTCTACTAGGAGCACTGCCGCTACCGTCATCGGTGACGCGGAGATATACAACTGAAGTATTTCTCCTTGTTCCGGTCTTGCTATAGTGGGTAAAGACCTCAGGTGATTTTTCACAACCTCTAATGCCTTGGATTGCTCTTTCCCCCACACAAATGATTTATTCTGGCGCAAGATAACAAAAAATGGTAAGGCTTTATCAGCCAATTTGCTGATAAACCTTGTCAACGCGGCCATGCGACCGATAAGCTTTCGTATATATTTTATAGACTTTGGTTCCGGTAATCCAAGGATTGCCTCGATTTTATCAGGATTAGAATTTATCCCCCTTTCGCTTACCATGAACCCGAGAAATTTTCCTGATCGAACACCGAACACGCACTTCACTGGATTCAACTTCATCCGGTAGTGCCGAAGAGTTTTGAAAGTTTCTCTCAGATCGGCAACGTGATCCGCGGCCAAATGGCTTTTTACAATCGAATCATCCACGTACACCTCTACATTCCTTCCCTTCTGATTTGCGAAGACCTTGTCTACCAACTTCTGATATGTGGCACCTGCGTTTCTCAACCCAAACGGCATAGCCTTGTAACAGAATACCCCGGCATCGGTGATGAATGCTACCTTGGTTCGATCTGGCTCATATAAGCTGACCTGATGATATCCGGAGAAAGCGTCCATAAAACTCAGTAGGGCGTGACCGGAATTTGAATCTACGAGTCTCTCTATCGTCGGTAATGGATAGCAATATTTCGGGCAAGCTTTGTTCAAGTCAGTGAAATCTACACACATTCTCCATTTCCCTGACGGTTTCTTTACCATAACCACATTTTCTAGCCATTCGGGATATGTGCAGGGCTCGATAAACCCCGCCACTAGCAACTTGTTGACTTCTGATTGGATGGCCTCTATTTTCCCTGTTGAGAAGTTTCTTTTCTTCTGCTAACCGGTCTTTCTCTCCTGTCAACATTTAGCTTATGCACCATGACATCGAGGTGTATGCCAGGCATTTCATCTGCCGAGAAAGCAAACACGTCAGCACTTTCTCGCAACAGTTCCACCAAATGGCAGTGTATGTCGACATCCATATCGGATCCAACGCGCACCACCCTTCCTGGGACCCCGGGCTACAACTCAATCTCTACGATCTCGCCCCCGGGGGAGGGGCGTGGTGCGATTACCGGCCGAGTATCGAAATTTTCCATTGCCAAGTCATGTGTAGAGGGAACTCGGCCCCGTTTAGGCGGTGCCTGCTCGCAGGCATTCGGCTTGACTGCTTCAACGCTGAAACATAGCATTCTCTTGCCATTGTTTGACTCCCCCTCACGCGCTCCGTTTTTCCAACATTAGACACATATACCATTGTTAAGTGGTACGTCGAGATTACAGCTTGTATGTCATGAATTAAGGGTCTACCGACAATAGCGTTATAAGCAGACGACACGTCAATTACCAAAAATTCCGCCATAACGTCTCTAACCGCCGGACCTTCCCCAATTCTAACCTGTAGAGCTATGCTACCTTCACGTCTAACCGTCGACACATTTAAACCTATCACTGGATAGGACACTGGCGTCAGGTATTTTCGGCCAATTCTCATGGCGTCAAAAGCTCTAGCAAATAAGATATTGGCGGAACTTCCACCATCAACTAGTGCCCGCTTGATATCGGCTCCATTAACCGTCAATATTAGCACTAATGGATCATCATGAGGGAAAACTATTCCCTTGGCGTCTGCCTCTGAAAAGGATATCGAAAGCATCGGGGAAGGTCGGGGTCGCTCCTCTACCCCCAGTGCGTTCACTATGTGCCGGTATTCTGACAAACTTTTCTTTGCTCCGCTTACAGAACCCCCGTATACTGGTCCACCTGTAATGACGTCTATCGTAATTTTGCGCCCTGTCGGAATGTTTCCTTGCCTATATGCTTCCCCTTGATCTGCTTATAGGTATCATCTTGCATTGATGAATCCCCCTGCTTCCGGTATTCGGTTTGCCTGGGCTGTGTGTTTTGCTGCCGGCCAGAACTTGTCTGGGTACGATACTGGGACAAACGCCCTTTTCTTATGAGATCTTCAATATTCTCCTTTAATTGAATACACTCTTCAATATAATGACAGACGTCTCTGTGAAACATGCAGTACTTCTTAACATCTCGACCCTTTGTTATCATTGGCGCCGGTCGACTCCAGTCTTCTTTATTCTGGTTGACTGAGTAAATTGCTGCTCTCGGTGTATTTAATTGCGTATAACTGCTGTAACGACCCAAGCCCCTTGCCGGCCTTCCAGATCTCTGCTGATTTTGCGGCTGCGACCTGCTTACCCCGCTCGCCTAGGTGCTTGGGATATTATCGTTCTGTCTCCTGGAGGGATCTGCCGACGCTATCTGGCGGCTTGTTTTCAGCAGCTCCTCACTCTTTATGTACTCGTGAGCCTTGGCGAACGCTACCCTTAAATTCAGAAAAGACTTTCGCGACATGTATTTTTTGAAATCGTTGTCACCCAAGCCATTCATTAAGGCCATCACGGCAATTTCTTTCTGTAACTTTGGTATGGTATTAGCTTCATTATTGAAGCGCCTAATGAAATCTCTGAGCGATTCCTCTTTCCGTTGCTGAACGGCCATGAGCTCACCAGATGTCCTTTGTCTTGCGTTGTTGCTTATTCTGGCCCGTGAACAACTCCACCAGGGTCTCGAAGCAGTCAATAGATCCCGGCTCCAAATTGGAGGATGAGCGCGGGGAAATTATGTCGTTGACTAACCTCCTCACGGCCAAACAAAATTTATTATAATCCTAAACTAACCCCTAAACAAGTCTAGTGGTAAGTTCGGAGTCGAACCACAAGGAACGGTAATGTTGGATTGTTCTCGATCTAATGCTTAAGCTACGCCGAAGTCGGTTTATGGATAGTGGACACTACAACTACACTAACACACATATAAAGATCAAGATATTACAAAGTCTACTAGGGGAAAAGATCCACTTTGAACAATTAACAAGTTAATGGGAATCGATTTGATAATCAATCATGCAAAGAAAGAATTAAAATGGGAATTAATTACCATCAAGAGCAATCTCTCAAATTCCTAGCCTAGATCCCTCATTGACTAGGTGCATAGAAGAAATTTACCCAAAATGCAATCAAATATATAAATTCTAATTCACAATCCCTTGTCAAACTAGAACTAACATGCAATTAAGTTTGCTATCTTGGGAGATCAATCCAATCTAAAACAAACAACATGCCATCATCAATTCAATCAATTTAATCACACAATTATCATCAAATTTATCTCAAATAACTCAATTAACCATAACAAAGCTTCACTCAACACCTAGTAGAAGGAAATCTACTCAAACATGATTAACAAAGCAATTAATAAAGCATAAAGAGAGAAGAGAGTAAGAAATGCTCATTGATATAAAATGGAGATCTTCAAATCATCAAATTCCTCCTTTGATTATCCAAAATCCATGAAAACCATTGTTTCTCTCACTTTCTCTCTCCAAAATTTGAGAGTTTCTCTCTCTAAAAACCTAAAACTACTGAAAATATGAATTCCCACCTCTAAAATGAGCAAAAAAATCTATTTATAGCCCTTACTAAATTGCCTAGGAAGCTCCGCAAAAAGTCGAGCAGCGCGTAGAGGAGCGGGCGTGCACCCCTCAGGAGCGGGCGCTCCAAACTTTCTGCCAAACTTCAAAATTGCACACCATGTGAGGAGCGGGCGTGCGGCCTTGAGAAGCGGGCGCTCCTGGCTGCGGACTGGGCAAACTGCTCAGATTCAAATGAGCATATCTCCCACGTTTTACATCGGAATTGAGCATATGACCTGTCGTTGGAAAGCTCTCAAGATAAGCTTTAATCACCGATTAGAATCACCCCAAAATGTTTTGTAGATCAAAAGATATAGGCGTTTGAAGTATGATCTTTGCAAATCAAGTGCACATTTCTTCATTACTTGTTCTTTTATGCTTTATATTTCTTCAATCTTGAGCAATGAACTTATCCAAGTGTTCCTAAACATAAGAGTAAACCAATAAAGTTTAATCTAATGTCATAAGCCACCAAAATATGCAAGAAAAGCCAAAATTGAGCAATAACGACATTTCACACATAAACATGACAAATGTAGTAAAACGTTATTAAAACCAAGTAAAAAGATAGAAAAACTATGAAAAACTAACTAGAAAACTCCTAAAAATAGCGACATAAATGACACTTATAAAATTCCCCCAAGCTTAACTTTTGCTCGCCCTCGAGCAAAACAAAAGAAACACAAGGGAATGTGATGCATTTTATACAAAGAAAACTAGAAGGGAAAGAATATACACTAACTCACTTTCGTAGGAATCACGAATACATTTAGCGTATGCATCAAGCACTTTAAACCCTTAGATTGCTCTAGAGGACGAGTAAGCTCTCATAAGGGTGTCCTAAGAGTTTAACCCATAACTCTTGACAAAAATCAAGGCAAGGCAATAAATAAATAAAATAAAATAAATCGAAGTAAGAGAAAAGTTACAAGCGTTCTAGAGTGGACTTTTATGATGGAACAAACACTAATGAATGTCAATCTTTCTAAAATAATAAAGGTATGCACGTTCTAAGATGTCCAAGGTTGATTGAAACATAACATATGCTAAGCATAGAGAACTAAAGGAAACACATTCCACCTTTTGTTTCAACCAATCAAACCACGTTCTCTCTACTAGTTTCAAATCCACTTTCAAGTTAGCTTCTCATGATTCCACGAAGAAACCGGAAAATAAATAAGAAATTAAAAACATTGAGAAGGTTACCCGACATCTTGGCTATGCAAACTCGCTCTATAGGCTTGATTCCTATTTCCCGCCATCATTGAATGACTTAACCCTCTAGGATCAAAAGGACTTTCAAGGTATTAACATATAAGCTAGGAGAGTAAAGGTGTGGAGAACTCTTGAAATTGGTGGTAAACCTATGTGAAGCACGGGTGGAACTTCTT